ATGTTTCGTCAGAGGGCTGGCCAGACTCGTTCGGCTTCGCCGATTTTCCGTATTGCGGTAACGTGCGCTTTTCCCGCCTCAGGATCTCCTTCGCTGGATCCGACGATGTCGAGTCGCTGCTGTTGTCATCTGAATCATCACCGTCGTCATCTGCGTCCACGAAGTGGATCGTCTTGGGTTTGAGTGGCTTCTTTCTGATCGGGGTATCTCGTTGCGGAAGAACCTTTCTGGACGCTGACATGGGGGTGCGGAAGTTCCTTTCTTCAAGAGCTTGACAGGCTTCATCCGATTTTTTGCGCTCCGCAGCAATCGTCGCCTTTTCCACTTCCAAGCCGATCTTTGCTTCATCGAGCTCATTTCGCTCTTTTTCGAGTACAGCCGCCTTGTTTTCGTTGTACGCTTTTTGGTCAACGACCAGTTTTTTCTCAACTTCCAACTGAACCCTTTCCGCCTCGAGGGTATTGCCCTGTTTCTGCAGCTTGGCAATCCGTTCCTGCGCCGTCTTCTGGAGATCGTCCCAATTGGTGTCCAAGGCTTCTCGATCTCTTGCGTACGCTCGCCTCTTCTGTTCCAATTCTCGTTCACGAGTGGAGACGCGTCGCTCACGGTCGTCCAGGTTGGATTTCTGGAACTCAAGTTGCTGTTGGAGCAGCTTTGCGTCGTTGTCCGAGTTGCTACGCTGCAGCGCATAGTCATTGTGCAGCTGCTCACGGCGTAGCTCGTACTCGTGGCGATACCTGTCCGCCTCGAGAGCCAGCGCATGTTTCATCTGCGCTTCCAACGCCGGTTGTTCAGCTGATCTTTGAGAATGTCGAGCGGTGCTTGAGAGAAGACGAAGCATTCTTGCTTCATATGCTCAACAATGGCCCGAATGCTTTGTAGAGTATATGTGAGTGCTGCTTGGGACTTCAGAAAGGTCTGCAGGACCGTCTCGTGGTGGTCTCGGAAGTCCACTCCGAGAATGTGAGGAAAGTACTGGGGTGCATCCTCCCAGAGGTACGTCGCGCATCCCTTTTTTATTGTTAGCTTCGAGGAAAAGGGGTTCCTTTCAATAATCATATCATCGCGGAAGTCTCCATCCTTGTCGCGGAGGAAAATGAATCGCCACGACGTGTTTCCCCGGATGGAGCGACGCAGATACAGCCTTACCTATTTGTGTCCCAGTTGGGGGACGGTAAGGTGTGTGGCCTTGCTGTTGGTGGTCAGCATTGCGAGTCCCGTGCGTGGCTGATGTGAGGATAAATAAGGAAAAAGAAACGGATCCCGATAGCAGGAACCCACTAAGAGGAGGAGAAGGAGAGGAGAAGTAGAAAATATAGCAACGAGAAATTATCAGCTCCTTTCCATTTTTCCTGTCGCAGGCTTTCAGAAAAAAAAAGGAGGGGATGCACTGTGTAGGTGGTGTTTCGTCTCAGTGAGGTGAATTTCTGCACGAAGTTTTTTTTCGATGCAAAAGAAGAGGATTAACAGAGAAGTAGAGTGAGAGTACAACGACAAAAAAAGAGATCATCTGCACAGTGCATATCAGATAATGTTCATTCGCTGCTTTGCCGGAACTCGCAGCACCGTGTTCTCGGATACCATGATGATAATGTGTAAGTGTTTCTGTGCGATGAGCGTGAACAATTAATGAGTTTGCGATGAAAAGAGCGCATCGCTTGTCTGGGACCAAACGCCTTGTTTCTTTTGTGAATTGCGAGAGCACCAAGGGGAACGTTACAAAAGTAAAAGGAAGAAAAAAAGAGAGTACCTTAAGGCTGTTAGTTTTTGTTGGCACTGCCAGATGCCGGAAACGGTTGCGTGCGCCTCTCGCCGCACCATCTGCACGGACATCCCGTGCACACGTCCATAACGAAAAAAACGTTGTGCAACGTACCTGGAGTTTGGTCGCTGAACAGTAGAAAAAAGGAAAATTCTTAGTCGGTTCTACTATGTAGCGCAAGATGGGAGAAGGGAAGAGAAAGAGAGAGACAGTTCCGGAGATCCTTAATTAGGCGGATCGTGTCGCTGGATTTGTATCTCAGCGTCCATTTAAAGGTTTTGATTTATTCATTCCACGTTCAGTAGTTTTTCTCAGCATATATCAAAGATCAATAGAAACTTACAACTCTTCACTTACGAATGAGAGGTTTGCCTTCCTTTCATCTTGAGGCTTTTTCAACTTGCGGGGAGGAAAAAGGGGGGGGGATGGTGGGAAAAAGAAACGGATCCCGATAGCAGAAACCGACTAAGAGGAGGAGAAAGAGAGGAGAAGTAGAAAATATAACAACGAGAAAGTATCAGCTCCTTTCCAATTTTCCTGTCGCAGGCTTTCAGAAACGAACAAAAAACGAAAGAAAACGAACTAAATAAAGAAACGCGGTCCAAACGGACGAAAGAAAAAAAAAGATGCTACCTGTTAGTCGGCGAGCGCTAAGGTTGCGATGGTTCTCTCCTTCATTTTTCTGTTGCTGATGCAAGAGAGGTAAAGCTCATCGGGACGAAAGCAGAGATAGCTAAGGTAGAGTTGGTGTAGTAAACTTAAAGTAATAAAAAGAGGGAAAAGAGAAACTGGGGGTTCACTGATTCACCAGTGGGCATGAGCGATGCAAAGATTCGCTTTTTGATCGCCGTCACAGAGACACAAAGTGTTCTACTCATTTACTGACGGGAACAAATACATAAAGAGGTCCGAACCCGAGCGCATTTAAAATCGACTCACTCCGGTCGAGTAGGAGTCAG